AATGTGCAGTCAGGACTAAGAAGCCTTGCTTTCTTTGAGACAGATTTAGTTCTGTTTCTGCCAGCCACTAGTGGATCAGATGTTTCAGTGTTAAAAAAATAGTTCCTATTCTAATCCCTGGAGCCCTGGTGGCGCAGTGGTTAGGAGCTCAGCTGCTAACCAAAAAGGTCAGCAGTTCAAATCCACCAGCCATTCCTTGGAAACCCTATGAGGCAGTTCTGCTCTGTCCTGTAGGGTCACTATGAGTTGGAATCGACTCAGTGGCAATGGGTATTCTAATCCAGGGTAACTGGGTAGAGAGGATTTAGGAATACTAGGTTAATTCCTGCAGTGTTTGTGACGATGGTTTTAAAGGTAGCTGTTAACTTTTGTGGGGAGCCCTGGTGGTGCGGTGGTTAAGAGCTCAGCTGCTAACCAAAAGGTCAGCAGTTTGAATTGACTCGATGGCAACAGGTTTGGGTTTTCTTGTTTATTAACTGTTTGTCTTTTAAAATAGTGCTTTAATATTTCTTCCACAGCCTGACCGTTGGTATGTGGAGACGTCTTTGGGGAATTAAAGGATTCTTGGGGTCTTCACATTATATACTATTGGAGGTGGGGGGAGTTTCACCCTTTGATGCTTCGTTTCCATTTGCGTAGTTTTCAAGGTAGACGTGGCTCAGGTTCCAAAATTTGGCTATTCAGATGCTTGCAGAAATGGCTAGGTTTCTAAATCTGCCAAGTAATTGGGAATCGTACGTTTATGTTGAGAAATACTATAGAAGTGTGCAATCCTTTTGCAGATATGTGGCATTTTAAACTGAGATATGAGTTTTCTGGGCCTTTGAGGAGCCAAATTGTCAGTGATGACTGTTCTGGTCTTGAGTCCCTGTCCCCGTTAACCCTTCATAACGAACAGTGATTGCCCATTGTTAACAGGAGAGCGATTTCGGTGTTCTTGACCTTAAAGGAACAGAGTTTCTACATTGCCCTATGTTCACAGTTTGGTTTAATTTATGTAGGTTTGGAGGGTGAACGACCTGCAAGACTCACCCGAGGGGAGGCCGACAGAGACACGTACAGACGGAGCGCTGTTCCTCGTAAGTGATGCACCATCTATGTGAGATATGTTGGGGTAATGAATTTTCAAAGCCAGAGTGACTGGGAACAATCCTCAGCTTCAATCTCTAGATCATCAGGACAGCTGGAGTCCTTTGTGTTTCTTTTCAGAGATTTGATAGTTGGGAATTAGGAGAAAAGCTGTCTGAGCTTGGGACACAGAAAACTTCAGCAGAAGACCTTTAACTAGAGCAGAATTGACAACTTTCAGGATAGCAAGTAGAAGTTGAAATCTTTTGACATTCGTAGCGGCTACTATGTATAAACCTAAAGAGGAATCTAAGTTGGAAAACAAAAATTAAATGCTTTGTTTGTTCCATGGTTGTTGTAAGCCCCTTGAGGGCAGGGGCCCATTCACATTGGCTTCATTGTTTGCTTACTGCAAATATAAGGCAAAATCTTATTTTGTGTAGCAAATACTTGGAGTAACAGATGTTCATTTATTCAACAAAAATGCGTGGAGCACCTGTTGTGTGTCAAGCCCTGTTGTAGGAGCTGAGAGCATAGTGAACGTAACAGACATAAAGCCCTTCGCATTGAACTTGAACTTTAGTGGTAGGAGACAGGTAAGTAAAATAAGTATGTTATATGTCAGTGTGGGTGCTGTGGAGAAAAAGGGAGAAGGGTGCTGCAATTTCAAATAGGATTTTCTGGGAAAGATTTGCAGAAGTGAGATTTGAGCAAACACCTGAGGAGTTGAAGGAGGCTGGCTAGTGACTCTGGCGGGGAGCATCCAGGTAGATGAACAGCAAGCCCAAGGGCCCTAAGTGCGGAAGACACCTGGCTTGTTTAAACAACAGAATAAGAATAGCGGGAGAGTTAAGGTTGTGGTTTTGGGCCATGTATGGAGTTGAAATTTTACTCCTGAGTAAGATGAGGAGCCATAGGTAGTGTTTTTGCAGACGAGCGACAGGATTTGACTTGTTTTTAAAGGTTCATTCTGCCATTTATTTATTTATTTTGGTAGAAGTAGTTAATTGCAGAGCCCTGGTGGTATAGTGGATAAGTGCTTAGCTGCTAACCAAAATGTCGGTGGTTTCGTGGTTCGAACCCCCTGGCCACTCCACAGGAGAAAGATGTGGCAGTCTGTTTCCGTAAAGATTTGCAGCTGTGGAAACCATGGGGCAGTTCTTTGTTGTATAGGGTTGCTGTCAGTTGGAATTGAGTCAACAGCAATGGGTTTGGTTTTTTTTTTTTAAGTTGTAATATAAAAAATGTAAAAGAGTTTTTCTAGTCATCTTCCCTGATTCTTCGTATGTAAATAGAAGTGGGCACTTGACCTGAGTACTTGCCTCATAGGGTTTCCAAGGAGCGAATGGTGGATTCGAACTGCACACCTTTTGGTTAGCAGCTGTAGCTTTTAACCTCTGCGCCACCAGGGCTCCCATCCTTACAGGGTAGTAAGAGTGAATTCCTTCATCGATTGTGTACTAAGTGCACATACTATGTGTTGTCCTGACTAGGTGCTAGATAAAGCCAATTCTGACCTTCTAGGGTCCCTTGGTCCAGAGGAAGTTAGTGATTGCTCATATTAGAAGTCATGACATACAGGAAGATCAGTCAGGGAAAGCATCCCCAGAGGACAGTTGGGCCAGAGCCACAGAAGTCCCCAAGTTGAGGGGAGTGAGCATTTCGGGCGAGAGTCTTGACATGTACAAAAGTATGGAGAGAGGGAGGGAGAACACAGTAGCTTGCCTTGGTCAACAGCAAGGTGGTGAAGTGGCAGGAGTCCATAGTAGGTGTGGTCTGAAATGGGCCAAAAGGAGGCTCCAAATCAAAAACCAAACCTGTTGTCATTGAGTTGATTTCGACTCATAGTGACCCTATAGAACAGAGCAGAACTGCCCCATAGGGTTTTCCAAGGAGCGCCTGGTGGGTTTGAACTGCCGACGTTTTGCTTAGCAGCCGTAGCTCTTAAACACTATGCTACTAGGGTTTCCAAAGGAGTCTCCAGTGTTGCTTTATGAGATTTACTGAAACCTGTCCCTGTATTCAGTCCTGCCCCCCACCCTCCAATGTAAAAATTAAATTTCCTACTGGCCACACTTTTCGTTCTTTTGTACGTAGGGTTGCTACGAGTTGGAACTGACTCAGCGGCACTTAACAACAACACTTAAAGAAGCAAATGGAAACCAGTTAAATGAATATTAATATATTTTTATTTCATTCAATATCTAAAATGCAACCTGTATAAAATTATTGAGATGTTTTACATGTTTTTCGTTAAAAAGTGTTTGAAATCTGGTACATATTTTGCACACATTCAATTTGGACTAGTGGCTGTCACCTAGGACAGTGCAGCACTACCTCTCTTGTGTCTGCCTCTTCCCCATGGTCTTAATTAAAGTTGCATGCGGCTTCTGTGGGCTCTCCTTGCGTTTGCCTCTTAGTTCTTTATTGAGCTCTCTCTACAATTGAGCTATTCTGGAGCATGTGATAAGTTAGTGATAGGGAAGGAGGAGGGTCTTCTGGGACCTGGAAGGGCACATAGTTTAGGCTTTGTGGGTAGAAGGTCAGGGCAGCCTTCCTGGAGGAGGTGATAGTTTGCAAAGGCTGACTTTTCAAGAGTGACTTAAGGAATGCTGAGAAGTGTGCCCCAGGAGAGAGGGAGGCAGAGGTACTAAGGGTATTCCCCACCACTGGTGTAATTTACTTGTACTTGGAGTAGTACAGCTGCTGCTGACACAGCCTTTTCTGTGGGGTTGAGTCGGGTGACTTACCTTCCTCGTTCTGCATCAGATCAGATGAGATGATGAGTCTAAACTGGTGTTTCTCGTTCCAGCTGGTGCCGACAAGAAAGCCGAGGCTGGTGCTGGGTCAGCAACTGAATTCCAGTTTGTGAGTATCCCTGATTGCCCTGTGGGTCTACAAATTCTGGAGACACAATATAGTGTGTACCCCCCAATTTTTTCTCAAACCATAGATTCCAAATTTTGCATTGAGACATAGTATGTAAGCTTTTATATATGAATTACTGAAATGAGTCTCACAAATCAATACTGCATGTGGCATACTGTTATTTTCTGTTGCATTTAATGCTGGTGATAAGCCCCTAATTTGGTTTTATAAACTTGAAGCTTATGAAAACGATAGAGATTGAGTGCTCTAGAACCAAGATGGTCTAGAATTGTATCCTCCATCATCCTTAGGGTAGTATGATCTTGGGCAGGTTCCCCTCTATGCCTCAGTTTTCTCATCTGTAAGATAGAGGTGATGATTGCTAACTATCTCAAGGTAATTGTGAGATTAGTCAATCCAGGTAGATTGTTAAGCATGGAGACTGGCATGTCACCATTACATCAGCTTCTGTCCTGTGGCAGTTCTTTACAGCATATACTTGCTCTCGGGTCTCGTGTGAAAAGGAGTGTATGGTAGAAACGAGCTGTGCTGTGCTGTGTGCTTTCGTGTGTGTATATATGAATACATCCTGAGAGAATGGCCATCTTCCCATTTTATAAAGGAGGGAGGGAATGAGGGCCTAGGTGGTGAAGATGGCCCCATAGCCAGTAAGGGGAGGGTTGAGATTTATGCACCTGCTCCTAGCTGTTAAACTTGGGGGCTCCTCCAGTGATAATGAGGCCTGAAAGTTAGCAAAAGAGGGCAAACTGGGTGTGCTGCTAATGCTGATGTCATCATTTGTTTTCTCTTGCAGAGAGGCGGATTTGGTCGTGGACGTGGTCAGCCACCTCAGTAAAGTTGGAGGGGATTGTTTTGTGTTGAATAAACATGTAGCCAGAAAACTAATTGAGTGTCCAGTTTGTTTTCATCATGAAGCCTGAGCAGAAATGGTTTAAGGGTCAGAATGTAAGGTAGAGCAAGACTGGTTGATTTTGAGAGTTGTCTTTGTCCGCAGTGATGTCATTTGTTGCTGCTAGTGCTGTTGCATTTGGCTTTGACATGGGCCCTTTTGGTTCTGGCAGGCGCCTCCCTGCAGAGATGTGTCCAGCATGGGTACCCACGCCTCGGAGGCAGTTGAAAAGCTGGGCATTTTTGCCAGACCAGCCTCACTGGTTCACTCTGCTTGGTGGGAAAGGAGGGTGTTTTGTTGACCCTGGATTTGAGATTCTGTGCCCGTTATTTGGGAATATCTGAGAAATTGTGCTGGGAAGGTAGGACCTAGAAACCAAAACCTTGTTCAAACTAACTTACAGGGGAGAGTGTAGAAATGGTTTTCAGCCAACAGTTCATGTCTTCCACAACTGGAATAAATACTGGGCCGTTGGTGTTCTTGCTATCCCATGGCTCCTTAAAAAGGAAAAATGTAATTTCCTGAAGACTTTTATAAGTAGTGATTCAGTATATAATGTAAGTGGATGAGCAGTGAGTTCGGGAATCATAAAAATTGTGTGCATTTTCTGCTGGCTTCAAAGTTTCCCCTTGGTGAAATCAGGTGCATTTTGCCACACATACTGGACAGGCACTTTGTTGGGAACTGAGGTGGGATAAAAGGGCCATTTCTGTGGTCCTTTACAGCCAATTACAGTGCCAAGAGGAGGGCCTTGAAGCCCAGTAAGAGTTCAGGGAGGCAACCCTGCGGGTGGACTTACTGATGTTGGCTTGCACGTCAGTCACCGTGATTGATAGCAGTAAATATGTGCTTCTGGGGTGAGGGTCAAAGCATTTGAAGAACCAGCCAACAGGTGATAGCTTGAGCGTGGCACTATCTCGGGACAGACCCATGAAGGTAAGGTTTTTCAGCCTGGGAAACACAGCTGATAGAAGTGGGTCATCCTTTGCAGTGTGGGGACTCAGGAATTTGTGAAGTATTATGGGCCAGACCTTCAACAGTGATGGATAATAGTTGATTAAGACATTAAGATACAGCTTTTTCCCAAACTGCACACAGGTGGTTTTGTGCTGGAAGCCACCTATTTCTTACTACACAGTTGTAATTTAAACCGCTAGGTGGCAGCCAACAGCAACCCTGAATATGCACTTAAACAGTCCTGGGAGGTGAGCCTTGGAATCTGAACCACCAGTAAATAGAAGCTTGCCTTGGCAGAAAGAGGTGGTGTTTGAGGAAACTGTTTCAGTGTGGCTTTGCTGCCTTGCCAAAGATTGCTTTTTATCCAGTTTTTCTGGTGGCCTGAGTGATGTCAAGTGGTTTGCCCGTGTTCACACGTCTTGTGATTGTTTAACCTGGATTCTGCTGTGAAATGTTTGTAGCTCCCGGCCTTTCTGTTTCCCACTGAGGCTGGCAAGTGGATGGGTTTTCTCTCTAGCCTTGATCTCCTGGCCCCAAAGTGTCAGTTTTTCAGCTAGAGTTCTTTGTCAACAACCCCTTTGTGATTTGGAATATATCCTCCAGATCACTCACAGACTTGGGGAAACCAGTGGAATTGGCAAGGCAGAGCAAGAGCACGTGGATAAAAACTGCAGATGGCAGTGATCTTGTTACCCACCAGCCTCTCCACTACTACCACCACCTTGATACATCGAACGGGTTCTGCCAATCAGTAATTGAATGGGCATCAGGGATCAGTGCTGCTAAGTGCTTTGAGAAACAAGGCTCAGAAGTTTGCCCTCAAGCACCTAACACTCTAGTTGGGAAATCAAACCTATACATTAATAATAATGCCAGATACTATGTAAGTGGTAAATTGTTAAGTCCAGACCAAATTCTGAGGAAGTGGCTCAAAGGTGGGTCTTGTGGAGCAGGGGAGGGGTGAGATGGCATTTTGAAGAGGTGCGGTGGTGTGCGTGACATGGGGTGGGAGGAGGTTGGGGAGGGCAATAAGAAAGTATTGGAAAATAAACATCAGATAGTGTCAGATTATGACTGAAAATGGAGGTGCTGAGACTGATGTACAAAAACTCTTGGGCAAAGCTAGGAAAGAAGCTTAACATTTTATTGCTATTCCTGCCATAGGTGCTTTAGCAGGATGGAAGTGTCTGAGGTCACTCAAGGGGCAGGTAAGTTACAAAGGGTCAGGGAGAGACCCATCTGGCAGCTGCATGGGCTCAACTATCCCTGGGAGGAAAGCTTTGGGAAATTTTGACCCATTACCCTCACATCTGTCCCCCAGTCCATATCTCACCAGCTAATCCCCTCCACTGCTAATACCACCTTCAAAAAGGCTCCAAAGGGTTTTGGAGGCTGAGGCCTGAAGATATGTTTTCCTAATTTAACATATGCTTAAAATAGACATGAATCCCCTCTCCCTGAAGAATCCCCTTATGGGCAGTGCCAGTAACAACTTATTAAGCTCCTTGAGCCTCACTTCTGTTTTGGTTAATCTCGTAAACAGAATGTTAGGAGGCACCTACCACATGCCT